ATTATATGTATGTACAAATTAAAAACACTGTAAGCCTTCTATGTGCCACATACAGTGGCTTCATTATTTTATAGTGATAGTTCATGTACTTAAAATCAGAGGAAGCAGCTGTTCCCAGGACAGTTGAAATTAATTTAGAGAAAGGGATTTGCAGATGTTTGAAAAGTCTTTGTGCCCCCCTCCAAAAAAAAAAAGTATATAATCAAACATCTGCTCCCAAAATTTATCTTAATAGAGCTTTCAGAAGCAGCATTTTTAGATTTTGTGCTGTGTTCTTGCAACATAAGTGAACCTTTGCACTCTGAATATGGCCATTTAAAATCATAAATGTGCTGCTTTTTTTTAAGTTGTAAACTATTGTTAAAATGATTTTAATAAAATATATTTTTCAGTTGTTTGCAGTCTGGGTCTCTAAGCTACTCAAGACTCAGCCTCCACTCCTCCAGCACCCCCACCACTTTCTGAGACTGGGTCTCCTAGTAATCGCCTTCATAGCTAAAATAGTATTTTAAAAAGCATTTGTGGGGAGAGGGGGTCATTGCCACTTAACTAAGATTAAGTCTTTCCTTTACTTTCCAGTCCATGTGACCTGGGCCAGTCACAAGATATAATAATTCTGTAGGTCCTGAGTTTTTAGAGGTATAATTCTACACTATAGAAATAAAATAAAAATAGTTGTTGGGGTAAAACACACGGTAAAGAATATTTATTAAGAAAAGAGTTCCTTTAGAAGGACAAGAAATATTCAGATAATATGCAAGTAAACTGCATCTTTTATTAAATGTCTTCATTTCATTCTGCATGTGTAGATTTGACCCCATACCCTCCATTCCAAGAAATCAGTGCAGTCGACAGGTTAATTAAATGTCATCCCTGCAACTCTTCCAGGACCCACTCAGGTTTCTGGAGCAGGTACTCTTGGTTCAGAGACTCTTCCCAGTCCTTGTCTCAGTACCCCCAGACAAGTTTGCCCTTCTGGAGCAATCCATCACATCCCTACACAGACCTAACATAAGTATGAGCTATGCCAAGCCTGCCCTCTCCCAGGGCTCTTTTCTCCTCTTAGATCCACTTCCCACAGGGCCCACATCCCATTGAAAATGAGAAGTAATGGATCACTCAACAGGCAACTGAGGCTTGAGGCCCTGATCTGATCCACTACTTCTCGTTCAGTCTAGACAACTTGGTGCGTTACCTCTGCCATGAGTTTCTCTCTAAAAGGAAATCACACCAAGAGACAATGCCCTGAAGTCTCCAGTCCCCGGGAGAGGGGTCAGGTCCCCAACCCAGAACAACTTGAGCAATAGGCAGGGAACCAAGATTTGGGTGTAATTATCCCATTACTGGAACCAGTTGGTACTCAGGAAAAATTAATAAGACAAGAGGCCAGTTTTAGAACCAGGGAACAGAGTAACTACAAACCAGCGTCATGGGTGACTTGAAGCTACGGTGCTAGTGTCAACACCCAAGACTTCTTATATTCCCATAGCATCAAGCCTGGTTTCAGAGTTGGCTGTAGGAGTTTGGTCAGCTGCTAAGGCATTAGAGGGATGGAGCAAGGAGTAGTGGAAGAACAATTAAGATGGTTTTATACCAGCTCCCAATATTTCAGTCTTACATAGTCAAGCCAGAGGCCCAAGAGCAACACTACATATGTCTTGAGGTAGCCCATATCTCTCTCTGGTTCTTTCATCTGAATAGTGACTATTAAAAAAAAAAAATCTGAATATGATAAAAAATTTTCCTGCAAAAGGCTTTATTTTTTTCATAATTTTTTGTTCAGCTATAATTGACTTATATATTAGTTTCAAGTTTACAACATAAGGATTCAAAATTTGTATATATTGCAAACTGATCAGCATGGTAAGTCTAGTTAGCATCCCTCCAACGTGTAATTAACAATTTTTTTTGCATGATGAGAACTTTTAAAGTCTACTCTCTTAGCAGCTTTCAAATATACAACACAGCGTTATTAACTATAGTCACTATGTTGTACATTACATCCCTAGGACTTGTTTATTTTATAACTGGAAGTTTGTACTTTATGACCATCTTCACTCATTTCTCAACCCCTACCTCTGGCAAACACCAATCCTGAAGAATGCTTTAGAATCAAGCTGATAATGTGCTTGAGTTATGTCTCTGCCATTTACTGGCCCTTTAATATTGGGTCAGCCTTACTGATTTTCTGCTTCATTTTCTGTTAAAGAGGGATTTCAATACAGCCCTAGTAATATTTTTCTGATGACTAAGACTAATCTTAGCACATAGCATAGAGTGGTTGTTCCCAAACTCGTCAGCACACTGGAATCACCTGGGGAGCTTCAAAAAATAAGATGCCTGTGTCCCACCTTCCCAGAGAGCATTTCCGCAATGTGGTCTAGGTTTGGGGATTTCTGAGAAATCTCAGATGATTCTAATGTTCAGACAAGTTTGGGAACACCTGGCACACAGCATGTCTTATCCTGAGAATTAAATATCTGTTAAATAAATGGAAACAATTAGTATCTGGCACACACTAGACTTTCCAGAATTCTTGGCTCCCTTCCCTTCCCTGACCATCTCCCCTCTGTTTTTGTTGGGATGCCTGGAGACTTAGTGTTGGTCTGTGATTCTAGTCGATATGGCTGCCACTCATGGCCAGGCACATGTGAGAATGCAAAAAGCTCTGGTATCATGTGCTGTAATATCCTACAGAAGAAGAGGAGAAAGAGGCAAAGTTGAGCTGCAAGGGGCAGCTCACAGAGGTCCTGTTGAGAGAATGTCTAATGAGTATGCTTTCACCACACTGTATGCAGTAAAGCCCCTGAATGCTAATTGTAAAGTCACCTTGGAAACCAGAGCCTAGTTTTATGCTCTCACTGGGGCTGATAGAGGAATGAGCCAGAACCCACAAAGGATAAGTCGAAGGCAGAGTTTCAGCTGGTCTGGAGTTCTCTTATTTTTTTTGGCTTTTATATTCAACATTCATTGCAGTAAATCCTTTGTTTAGTGTTCCTGGGTCAGCCATCTGAATGTATCAAAGTTCCAAAAAGTTGAATATGTGGCTTATTGGTTTCAGTGTCCTTTTATGGCTCTTGGAGAGAGGCTCTGAATTCTGAGAGAGGACACGTAAATCATTCTAAGATTTAGAAGCCAGTATCGTCTCTCCTTTCCACAAAATAGGAGAACTATAAAGAGGCAGTGTTTCAGATGTGCGAGAGGGGTCTGTCGCTTCACTGACTATTTTCGGGTTATGTGGTTTTGTGAATAAAAATAATACTTCGTGGCTCTCAGTGTCTGGAGCCGAGAACTGGAATATTGTTTGATGCACAAAGCTTATAGTTTATACTCTTTATGATTCAAAGCAAATTCTCAAATTCACCTCAGTAACATAATAGGAAACATTTAAGATCCTGGGGTTGGGGGGGAAAGAGGGAAAGGTCAGTATCAAGAACTAAGTAACCATTTTCTACGTGACCTGAGAATCCCAATGGAGTCAAGCTGATCTTCCTTAAAAATAAAAAAGCATCACAATTTATAACCTCAGGAGACAAGATTCCTAGCTTTCTGTTTTTAAGACATGCATTTTAAATAGAAAAGAATCTTTTTTGAAATTCATTTTTCAATTATAGTTGATATACAATATTATATTAGTTTCAGATGTACAACATAGTGATTAGACATTTATATAACTTAAGAAGTGATTCTCCCTGATAAGTCTAGTACCCATCTGACACCATACATAGTTATTACAATATTATTGACTATATTCCTTATGCTGTATTTATATCCCTGTGATTATTTTTGTAACTGGAAATTTGTAGTTAGAGAAGAATCTTTCATTTTCAGGGTAGTTCTATACTTAAAAGGGATTATGTAAGTACTTTGAAAATTGTGTGGAGTTTTCAACTAAAAACTACCACAGATTAAAAACCTGAGATGGACACTTATAAAACTGGGTTCTTTAGGCAAATACAGATATGCTGTCTTTGTTAATATTTAGCACTTTGTAATGTTTTAGATCTTGTATTTGGTATTAAAACTATATGAGCCTAAGCTACATTTCTATATTCTCAACTTAAGTTGTCTTTTTTTTTCATCGAATCACCTTATAATTTCTTTTCACAGGAATACAGTGTTCTACTTCAGGATTTAAAAGGGAAATGATATATAACAAGTTTTTGTATATGTGTATTTCTATCGTACTAGTTTTAAACTCTACGACAATTGCATCCCTCTATTGTCTATCATCTTTTACTGCCATTTGAATTTGTTAGAACTTCATATTGAAAATAAAGGTTGCACTTTGCATAGCGCAGAAAATAAGAATAAGCATAGATCTTGCTCAGAAGAAATCCAGCTTTTATTTGGTTCACAATCTGCACTAGTGAACCAAACCACCAGATGGATCCTGGATCCTGACCACCTTCAGGTTTGACAGCATGCAGGTCACACATGGTCCTTGCCTAGGGGTCAGTTTGAGGCATGCATATTTGAAAAATGAGTTCTGAGCAAGAGTTTTAGTATTTCTTTAGTTGCTCAAAAAGCTTCAAAAACATCTAATAACCACTGGATAATTTTCACTACTCTCTCTTATTGATGGTTGCAATTTCCAGTGTCCCAAAAAAGCGAATCCTCTTATTAGTTGGACCACTTTTTTCTTATGATTCTCAGTTGGCCAAGGCCCAGTTTCATTCATATCCTGGTCTTTGGACACGAACTTGTGAATATAGCTTTGTTTGCCTCTGAGTTGGCTGCATGAATCCTGAATGTGGAGTTTCTACTGACAGGGCTATACTGCTGAGTCATGCTCTATGTTCCCAAGGTGAATCCCCCCTCAGTCCCAGATCCTCCCAAACCAACTGGGGATGCACAAGTGTAACCCCTGGGTGCCCTTTTGTGAGTCTTGAACTCCACTTCCTCTTTGGCAACAGGTTCTAACTGACATTGGCAAAATGCCAGCTCTCGGCAAAAACATCGGTCTTGGTGTAGTGCTTTCCATCTTTTCTCTCCCACAGGGTCCAGTAGCATCGACCACATCAGTATTGTCTGCCCTCTCCCCTGGGCCTGGCCTTCCTCCAGCCCTTCCTCCTCCACCTCCTCCAGGGCCACCTCCACTTTTTGAAAATGAAGGCAGAAAAGAAGAGTCTTCTCCTTCACGCTCAGCTTTATTTGCACAGCTTAACCAAGGGGAAGAAATTACAAAAGGTGAGGAAACCTGACTTTGAAGCTGTCTCCATTAGGCTCCAGGCACACAACGCCCTGCGCCCCCGCCCCCCACACACACAGAGCCCACAGTGATGGATGCATCATTCCATCCCAGTCCCTAACACACAGAGAAGGTGAGAGTCCATAGCGTTCATGTCAAGGTAGATGGGCTCAGTGGGCTGTTGCGTGGACCAGAAAGAACTCAGAGACTCTGGGTTCCAAATCTACCACTGCACTGCATAAGCATGTCAGTGCCATCTACAACCAAGGCATCAAGATCAAGTGAAATAAAAAATGACAAACAATAGCACGTGTGACCTCAAGCAGTGTACAGGCTTGTCAAAGAATAATGTCATTGAACAACTTTTGTCCTCACAGTGAATGATTAATTAAAAAATAATCATACGACATTTAATAAAGTCATGTTGCCAAAAACTATAGAAATGTATTTTTGCTTTGCACAGGTCATAGGAATGAATTATGATATAAGTGTCCCTATGCACTGAATTTGGAGTTAAGAACCCAAAATTCTAAATTTTTCTCTTGCTCCAACTAGCTGCACTGTCTCCTCACCCGCAAAGAGAATAGTTCTGTAACCTTAAAATCAGTTTTGTACTCTGACATATCCGTACTGGAAGGCCCTAATATTTGGGCACATCTAGGAAATGATTCAGCCATGGCACTATGGTTTGCTTTTTGCAGAATTTTTATCTATCATCTGATTTCCTTAAAGAAGAGTTTCCTCAAATTGAAAAATCCTTACAGTGCTTCCATGAACTCTAATTTATACAGGTCTCAGACTCTGCTTACTAACCTTGAGAAAACACTAGACTGCTATAAAAATAGCATTGACAATAATTCTTGAGCTCTTTATATCATGTTGATCTAAGAAGTTAGGGACACTTCCATTTGCATGAAATATAAAGAAATGTGTCTATATATTTATTACCTTCCCAGGACTTCGACACGTCACGGATGATCAGAAGACATACAAGAATCCCAATCTGCGGGCTCAAGGAGGACAAACTCCATCTCCTACCAAAAGCCACACTCCAGGCCCCAAGTCTCCCCAATCTCATCCTCGTCAGAAGCATGCTCCTGTGTTCGAGTTGGAAGGAAAGAAATGGAGAATAGTGAGTAAAGCCCTTTAATCTTTGTTCCTGACATGCTCTGACGTAAAGACCAACAGCTAAGCTGTGTACCAAGGTCTTAAGGATTTCTAAGTGAAATGACATTAGCAAAAGCTTAGCTAAAATAGAAAATGGGAGTCTTTCTGAATGCTTCCATAAACATTTTTTTTCCATTATTTCCCATTCATTCTTCAACTTTTTTAAATTATTTTTTTTAATTGTGATAAAAAACACACACAACATAAAATTTACTATCATAACATTTAAGTGTATGTAGTTCTTTTAAGTACTTTTCACACTGTGTGCAACCATCACCACCATCCACCCACAGAACTCTTTTCATCTTTAAAACTGAAACTCTTCACCCCTTAAACACTAATTCCCCATTCCCCCTCACCTCAGTCCCTGGCAACTACCTTTCTACTTTATGTCTCTGAATTTGACTACTCTTTCCATAAACTTTTAATCTGTGCCCCATTCTGATCTTCTGTAGGATGTTTCATTCCATTCCACTTATGGAGGTGTTAAGGTAACCTATTGGATAGACGCTTAGAATGTGGATGGAAGCTGGTGCTCCCTGCTAATCCCAAGGGCTTCCCCAAAGATTGAAGACCAAAGTCCTCAGAAAGGTTGCCATGATCTGAAAATACACTGTAGTGACTCTTACCAGCCTACTTACCCAACTCCTACTTGACACAGCAAATTTTGCTGCATCACCATTAAGTTCAGACTCAACAAAAAGCTTTCACATCCCTGCTCCAACCTCTACCCACTAGCCAGGGTACCAGATACCTGACTGTTTCCAAATTGGCACCAACCCCCTTTTGAAGCAGAGGTCCTATCCATTCAAAATCTTACAATGACACAGTAAGAGCTGTGGTTTAGTCTCTAAGAAAATGGTTCTAAAAGAAAGAACATATTGGAAAGCTGTCGTTAATGAATGCTGAACTCCATAGTATTTTCAATATGCAATGGATTTGATTTATCTATACATCCTTGTATTTAATATTTGCATATGTTTTAATTTTAGGAGTACCAAGAGGACAGGAATGACCTTGTGATTTCAGAGACTGAATTGAAACAAGTGGCTTACATTTTCAAATGCAACAAGTCTACCCTACAGATGAAAGGGAAAATAAATTCCATTACGATTGGTAGGGCTCTGTAGTTACTTTGATAAGTTGCTTATATTAACATGCTCTGTGTATTTAGTGAAGTATTTTTTCCTAGACAACTGTAAGAAGTTTGGCCTGGTGTTTGACAATGTGGTGGGCATTGTGGAAGTGATCAACTCCAAGGACATTCAAATGCAGGTAAGTGGCCCTTTCAACCGTGTTCTGCCCCCACTCTGGCTTTGCACAGACCATCTACTCTGCCTGCAAGGGGCCCACTGTGCCCACCTAGAAAACTCCTAATCCCTTTCTTTCTAGACACAGTTCTATCATCACCTCTCCTCTGAAGCTCCTCTTACTTCTTAGGCAGTGTTAACTTCTCCTTTTCAATCTCTTAGAACACATCCTATGTTGCACTTTAATTGCTGGTTTACTATCTCTATTTCAAAAACAGTTCATTAATCTTTACAGCCCCAGAAACTGGCACAGTACCTGTACATAGTAGGTGTCTAATAAATGCTTGATGAGTAAGTGATTAAAATGAATCAACCAATAAACAAAAATACTAAGAGATTCTCCTAGCATAATAGCACCATCCTGGAGAGAATTTTTTTCCCCTCAGGAAAAACTGATTCTGGGTAAGGAGAGGGAAAAGTTTTTCTGAAGAGTCAATGAAATCATCAAAAAAACCAACCTGAAAAGTAGAATTGGAACTGAATTTGCAAAACAAGAGAAAATCTGCATCTCTTTAGTAATTTTGAGTTAGCCAAATGGGATTTTATAATACACAAAAACTAAAGAACTTCTTACCTTTGGCCAACTATAACTTCTATCTTTGATTACACTCTTTTCATATTGTTAATTACCCCTTATTATCGGAAGTTTCCTAATAATGTTTGTCAAAATTCTAGTTTTATAGATCTTTGTCTTTTGTTTTACTGGGCTTTTCACCATTGTCATGTTTAAAAACTTTTTTAGTTAAATTTATTAAGTAACATTTTTTAATAACATATAAATTTCAGGTGTACAACTTTACAATACATCTATATACTCCATTGTGTGCTCACCACCCAAAATCTAGTCTCCTTCCATCACCATATATTTGAGCCCTTTTACCCTCTTTGTCTTTCCCCCACCCACCTTCCCCTCTAGTAACCATGATTCTGTGGTCTGTATCTATGAGTCTATGTGTTTTGTTTGTTTGTTGCTTTTTGTTTTATATCCTACATATAAGTGAAATCATACAGTTCTTGTCCTTTTCCATCTGACATTTCATTGAGCATGGTACTCTCAAGATCCATCCATGTTGTCACAAATAGCAATATTTCATCTTTTTTGTGGAACAGTAATATTCCATTATTTATATGTACCACATCTTCTTTATCCAATCATCCGTCAAAGGACACTTAGGTTATTCCCATGTCTTGGTTATTGTAAATAATGCTGCATTGAACATTAGGGTACATATCTTTACAAATAAGTGTTTTCAAATTTTTCAAGTAGATACCCAGAAGAGGGATCGCTGGGTCATACGGTAGCTCTAGTCTTAATTTTTTAAGGAAACTCCATACTGTTTTTCATAATCACCACTGCCATTTTTAATTAGAGTACGTTCAATTGTACATTTTACATTTCACTAACTGCCACTGAAGAAGCTGTTTTTGCATGTGTCTGTTTAATAGGAAAGAGTCTTGAACTGGGCACCGTGAGACCTGGGCACTAGCTCCCTCTCTGCCCTCATCCTGTGTGCACTTGGCCTATTTACTTCCTTTCTTCTCGGAGTTCCTTTCTTTGAAACACAAGGCAGGCTGAGAGATTTTAAATCCTCTCCAGACTCAAATTCTAATATTCTTACCACATAATCTCTATGGATGCATTTATTTCTTTCACATTCCATTTCCATATATTCTCCTCAATGCCTCTGTGTGAATCCCCTTTCCCTAACCATTCTGCTTCCACTTCTTCATAAACTCCATTCCTTGATAGAAAATTAAAAGAAAGCAACCAAATAATTTCTCACAGACACATATATGGTTACCTTCACCTTGTAAACATTGATCATTCTCAAATCACACTTTAGCTTCCAAAATGAGAGTTATTTGTCTAACACTACGTAGCATCAAGCACTCATTCATTTGTTCATTCATTCATTTGCCAAATATGTATTGAGCATGTCTGATATGCCAGGTGCTGTTCTCAGCACTAAAAATATCAGTAAGCAAACAAGACATATGGTAATTCTATTCTTAATTTTTTGAGGAACCTCCATACTGTTTTTCACAGTGACTGTATCAATTTAGATTCCCATCAGCAGTGTATGAGGGTTCCTTTTTCCCCCACAACCTCTCCAATACTTATTATTTGTTTTGTTGGTACCAATAGTATTTCTGATAACCACATTTATCTATTTAATAACACTGCTTCTCTCAAAGTATTATGCATGAAAATTTGAGAAAATCACTCATCATCAGAAAATGTCTAATTCCTCAAGGCCAAGTATGGTTCGTAGAAACCCAATAATGACTCCACAATTTCTGAAGAACTCTTTTGGATAGTGGAAGCTCCTACATAAAGAGCCAGGCTTCCTCCTACTTCATATTATTTTTAACCAAAACAAAAAGCAAACTAGAAATAAGATTGGAAATAATCTAGTCTAATATTCCTCCTCTTAATTTTAGAGGGTTTATTTCAAGCTTCCTTTTATTCTTACAGAAGTGGAACTGGGTAGCAGTGATGATACCATATATAAGAACATAGCATTATATTTTAGTATAGATAAATCACATTCGACATTTTTAAAAACCTAATGAATTAAATATAAAATATGAAACTAGAAAAGTAGAGGAAACAGTTCTAAATTTTCATCAAATATCTGGAGGGAGACAAAAAATTCTAAATTGAGAAGTAATAGAAGAAATTATTTAAAAAGATGGATATGCTTACTTAAAAATTTTAAACTTCTGAATTTCGTAGAATGGAATACTATGTAATCATTTTTAAAAGTCACCTAGAAAGATAGCCATGATATCTTGTTAAAAAGAACACTTTTATACCATCATGTAGAATATTAGTTCATGTTTCCAAATACATACACATACAAATAAACAGATATAGCTGTAGCTGATAATTCTAGAAAAAAAAATGGAGAATACTTATTTCTATAACCAAATTAAGGGTAGCTATCAAAATCCTAAAGCAAAAATCATACTTCATTTGAAACTGTGGATTTTCCATTACAATCAAAAAGAGAATTCCTTCTGTCATTGCTTATGTTCAATAATGCATAAAAGGTTGTAACTTATGTAATAAGGCAAGAAAAATAATTGAGAAAAATAAAACTGGAAAAGGAAGAAACAAAAATGTCCTTATTTATCAACAAAATTATTGCCTTTACATAAAATCTGAGAGTTTAGACAAACGTAAAACTATATAAACACTCAGCAAGATGTTTGAATACATTATCAACATGCAAAAATCAATAGCATTTCTTTATGCCGCAAATAAACATTAGAAAATGTAATAGAAAATAAGATTAAAACAGCAACAAAAACTGTAAAGTACCTGGGAAAAAATTAAACAAGAGAAATACAAGGTGCTCATGAAGAACACAAGAGATATAAATAAATGGACAGAAAGACATCAGTATCAATCATTGTCATTTATTCAATCTATAAGTTCCACGAAATCTGACTAAAAATCCCAACAGTTTTTAATGAACAATGATCTTAAAATTCATTTTGAAGAAAAATGGACAAGAATAGCAAAAACAGTTTTAAAGAAGGACAGAGGTGAAGAGACTTGCATACCAGATATTAAGAGTCATCGTAAAGTGCTATGTTGTTGGAGAGATATAAAAATAGACTAATGAAACAGAATAGCAAGCACTGAAATAGACAGATGCATACATGGAAATGTATTTTAGGACAATCTATGTGGGGAAATAATGTTTAATTCCTACCACACCATACATAAAAATAAAGTCCTAATTATTAAAATAAAATATTTCTAAACTTTGAGACTAAAATACAGAAGAAAATCTTTACAGTCTCAAAAAACACAAACTGTAATGAAAAGGACAGATTAATCTAACCACATTAAAATTAAAATTAATTTTAATTTTAATGAAGTAGTATCTATAACAATATTAAAAACTTAAAATTATATGTTCAATAGAAGACATCATATTACAAAGCTGAAAGAGAAGCCATGGATTGAAAAAAGACACTTGTAATGCAGATCATAAAAAAAATTTGTAACCAGAATTTATAAGGGACTTAACACAAATCAGCAAGAAAGAGACTAATGACCCAACAGAAAAATGGGCAAAACTATTAAAGCACTTCAGAGAAGAAAAAACAAGTGTTTGATAAATATATGAAAATACACATAACCTACCTAATAGAAATAGGAATGCAAATTAATAACACAATTAAGTATCTTTTCACACTCATCAGTTTTGTATTCAGGTTATCCTTACTTTGCAAGGGGCATGTTAGCTAAATCTCATATATGTCAGAACTGTGCAGTTTGAAGACTGCTTGGGTGTTAAAAAATCTGATGGTCCAAGGGTTGTTAAGACAGTGGAACAATGGGAACCCTGATACATCACTGTTGGGAGGTAAATCTGTTCCACTCACTGCATAGAGTAAATTGGCACCATCTAAAAAGTTAAAAACATTCATATCCTGTGACCAAGCAATCCTGCTCTTAGGTATATACACTAAAGAAATTCTAGTACATATGTCCACAAGACATGTAAAAATGTTTATTGCCATATCATTCATAATGGCAATATAAACAAAAATATCAAATGTCCGCCAACTGGTAAATGAATAAATAAATCCCCCAAAAGAATACTGTACAGTAGTTAAAATGCATAAACTATATTTACATGTATAAAAATAGATAAATCTCAAAAGCAACATTGAGCAATAAAGGCAAGTTACAGAATGGCAGGCACTGTACAATGTGTTCCTTTATGTAAAGATTGAAAATAATGCAAATCTGAGGAGAGAGGAAGGGAGGTCAGTGAGGTGGTGGGTGGTATAGAGGAGGCTTCAATATCGTAATGATGTAGTCCTAAAAAAAAAAAGGTTAACGAGCCAAATGTAAAATCTCGATAAAGCTGTTTGACAGAAATATATGTATTTACATATTTATTCTTTATACGTTTCCATGTTTGAAATATATCAGTTTTTTAATGATATGGGCATATATTCTAAAAATAATCTGGAAGGATAAACTGGAGTTATCTGTCCAAGAGGGATAGAAACTTGGCAACATAGCTCAGAGATGAGAGAGACATTTTACTGAATACTTTTGGAACTTTTGGATGTTCAAATCATGTGAATGTCATTACCTATTTAAAATATTTAATAAACAAAACAGAAACAAACTCAGATACAGAGAACAAACCGATGGTTGCCAGATGGGAGTGGGGTTGAGGGCTGAGTGAAAAAGGGGAAGGGATTAAGAAGTACAATCGGCAGTTACAAAATAGTCACGGGGACTTAAAGTACAGCATAGATTCGGAATATAGTCAATAACTTGTAATAACTATGTGTGGTGCCAGGTGGGTACTAGACTTATCAGGAGGAATCACTCTGTAGGTTATATAAATATCTGATCGCTATGTTGTATACCTGAAACTAATATAATATTGAATGTTAACTGCAATTGAAATTTTTTTATTTTAATAAATAAATAAAATTTTAAAACATTTAATACATTGTTTTAAAAGGGCTTGGACACAATAGAGACAGAAAGCAGATTAGTGGTTGCCTTGGGGTAAGGACAGGGATTGACTATAAATGGGCATTAAAGATATTTTGGGGATGATGGAAATATTCTACAACTGAATTGAAGTGATGGTTGCATGACTGTGAATTTACTAAATATAATTAAATTGTACACTTAAACTAGGTGAGTTTTATATTTGTGGATTTTACCTCAATAATGCTGTTAAAAAGATTGAAAGAGGAAAAAAAGGCATGGACTAAAGTTCATATGATTTAGTCCAGTAATTCTATTTTTGGCAAGCTATCCTACAAAAGAGTACAAATTATGGGAGAGAGAAGAGACTAGGAGATTCCATGAAATTTTGGATATTTTTATGGAGAAATAAATTTTTGAAAAACCAAACTAACACAGAAACCTGAATTAAATGCTAGAGCATTGGCCTGGGCAAAGTCACATATCACCTGTCACTCAGCAAAGGAGTTACTCTTTGGCCCAGTTCCCTGATAAGAAATAATCTGTTCTTAAAGTGTTCACAGAATATCAGAGAAAAAGCACATATATATAGTCCACTCTAATACAGTACTGACCAAAACGCTGTGGAAGTGACATTTCTTACCATATCAGGGCTATTTTTTTAATTCCGCTATTGCTTTTTCAGGTTTTCAGATACATAGGGTGTTTCAGCATTTTTAACATAGTATAGCAATATATAAATATAAATAAAATGTATTAGCATAATATGCTTGCCTCATATGGCCCCACTCTGTCTCATGAAAGACTCACTGACGATTTACTCTTTTCCTTTACTTGCCTGGAAATCATACAGTCTGGTCATTATGTAAATACTCTTCATCATTACAAAATAAACAAATTTAGAAATTGCCAGTACATTACTGCTGACACATTCTTGAAATACAGATATATGTATTTATTTTATTTTATTTATGGCAAAGCCCTGTGCTTACCTGACCTTAAACTACCTCTGCTTTTTTTTTTTTTTTTTGCACTGGGGCTCAATTCCCACTCAGTGTCCAGTTTCTATGGAGAGAGGAGAAAACAAAGAAGTGTGGTGACCTGGCTAGACTCTCTCTAAGGAATTCTTTACATCACCTGCACTATCAACAGGAGTTGCTCCTTTGGTTTGCAATTCAGCCTTTTCTTCAGGGTGAAAGAGGAGATGTGTTTATCGCTTTAATTACCATTATAAGAAGGAAAATTATAGAATTGTAATATGTTCTTCTTTAGGGGAACAGTCTATAGAGCCCTTATAAAGATTTTGGGGGTATGCCTGAAAACTGACTGGTAAAGAGAAATTTAAAACTGATTGAAATTTTTATAGCACTTAGTTATTTGTAAACAACACAAAGAATTGCCTCCTCTTGTGTACGGTCCCTTTTACCTATACAATGAGTGGCTTGAACTGAGTCTCCAGTTTTCACTCCTGAAATTAATACATTTCAAAATACCTAGACACTCATTATCTCATTTAAGCTTCACATTCAGCCAGTGAGATTTTTATCTAGCAAAGGACTTACGTGAAAAGAATTGTAGTGTTTCTCATTTATTCTTATTTAGGTTCAAGAGAAATCTACTCAATTACAGAATAATTTGTTTGCTCTTAAATGACAGTATTAGTACTTGTTTTAATTCAATTTTCCTAGAGATTTGTCAAAACTAAAATTTTAAGCACATAAAAGCAAATGCATCTTGTTTCTTTTATCATGAAATCAAATATATGTTTCAAATCCACTAACTGGGGTTGTGAGATTTTTTTCTCAACATTTAGCTGCTGTTTTCAAATTAATCCTTTTATTTTGTGTGAAGAAAGAAACCCTGATGTTTAAGAATCCCCTTGTGTGGTCCTTTTGTTCTGTCCCCAAATGACGCCTACTAATTCAGACTAGAGATGTTAACCAGCCTCTCCGGCCCCAACCCAGCTGTTCCTAATGCTTGGTTAGGCTCCTGGATTGTACTTATTTGGGGATACTGTATTTCTATTTCTTTGCTTTGGTCCCAGATTTTTGTTCCTATTTCAGGTAATGGGGAGAGTGCCAACAATTTCCATTAATAAAACAGAAGGCTGCCACATATACCTCAGTGAATATGCATTAGACTGTGAGATAGTGAGTGCCAAGTCATCTGAAATGAATATACTTATCCCTCAGGATGGCGATTATGTAAGTACCTTTTAAAAGACTGTAAGAATTTTTCTCGAGCCTTCATTATGAACATTCTTAGAGCTTGATTAATCAGCTACCAATCTATGAGCTTTATTTGTAGAACAATTCACAGGCAAGAGAGGCATTCAGAGTTGCCTTTACATATCTTCTGCCCTATTAGTTTCTTGACTATGCTCTCTCCTGGATTAGTGATTCTCAAGGGAGTTTACTAATAATTACCTTAATAGGGTAGCTTTTATCAAATAGTACACACTGTGCATCTGAGTTCATATTAGTTAGGACTAAATATTTTCCTTTGCTATGGTGGAGGCAACCAGAAAAGAGAGAGAAATGCTTTATGGAAAATGGGAGTGAGTGATAATAAGTAGACCTATTTGTGTAGGTATTCTTATATCAGAGGTTCTCAAACTCAGTGTAAGAATCTACTGGGAAGCTTGATGAAAATGCGAGCTCCCAGAGTCTGCACCTAGAGGTGGGATTCAGGAGGCTTGGAGTGGGGTCTGGGAATCTCTATTTTAATAGGCTAACACTCCATGCAGTGACCCTTCCAAGAAACACTAGCCTTAGAGATTTTGCCACCATTTATCTTCTTTGCCTCCTGTCCCCAACAAACAGAAGCATACAGATACCTTCACACATTGAAAAAGAAATATAAATAAATACATCCTCTGCATCACACAGTGTGGTGGGCCTGCCAGTCATTGCTATTTGGAAGCAAGTTATTGCTTCCTACTAGTTATTGCTTCTTCGACATATGGAAATAAATCCAGAGATCATTCCCCCTGACTCAAACTGTGCAAGGGACCAGTAAACCAGGAAGGATGGGAGAAATCTTAGCAGGCACACCTTTAGAAAAGGGGCCCTCATCAGCCTGTGGGTCAATCACTAACCGTCTACACAGTTAGCCAGCCTTCAGGTTAATCTCTGTAGACAGATGACATGACTGCTCTCTTGTTCTCCTTCCTTGCGGGACATTTGGTCCTGTCCAAATGTCCATGGAGACATTTGGCCCATGGTTTAAAAAATCCCATTCTTCTGCAAGATTCACACCGCAACCCTTTAACCCCGTGTATGATTACCAGCTGGGCTACCAAGGCAAGAAGGGCGATTATTGGCAATAGAGCCACAACACAATTACTGAATCGATAAAACACAGAAACACAGTAGTACTCTTTATATATTAATCCTGTAACTCAAAAGTAGAGATAAACATTATGGGCTGTTTGAACCTGGGCACGTTTTCTAAACTTAGACATTTTGGACAGGACCAAATATCAAGGACCTTTGGGCGTGGACCAAAAGTCTCAGTGGATGTTTTGAACAGGACCAAATGCCCACTAATCTCCCCTTTCCCCACCTCTCAGTAAGTTCTTCAGCACTACCCAGACACATGCTACATATTGAAGCCTAGAATTCGTCATTTGAGTCTAAAAAACAAAAACTGCCAGCATTGGCCCATGCTTCACTATGAGATATATGGCCAGCCTAACCCTGAGCTAAAGAGTCTCTTCTCACATTTTCCACCTGAAACAAACTACTGAAGTGCTAAAGCCAATGCAGAACAACTGCAGAGAGGAGAGCCAAAAATTAGAGTGAGCCCTGGCCTTTGCAGCTATTAAGCTGAAGGCTCAGCTGCATGGGAACTGGATCTAAGAAAAGCAATGGGGTTTGGTGAGCACTCCAGACTAATTAAGCTACAATCCCTGGGCATAATACCCAGACATCTGTACTTGTCAAAGATTCCTACGTGATTCCTGTGTGGAGTTAAGAGTGAGATCCACTTACCTAATGGATGAGTATTGGTCAGAACCTGAGCTTGAAAGAGTAAAGTCCTCCTTCTATACATAAATCGTCTTGTACCTTGGCCTAGGTTCACACATTTTCCAGTTGGAGGTAATAGGGAGCAATACTGAGGTCCTGCCATGAGCATTGTCATCTGGAAATGGATGGTGGGTTTGATTCATCCCCAAAGAAATCAGTCCCCAAAGAAGATATGCCATCATATCCTATCACTTAACTCCCAAAAAAGATTTGGAACAGATGTAGAGCAGTTACTATCAAAGAGATGCTTCACTCTGGAGTATTCTCTGCCTGGCCTTGTTTACTCATCAAGAAGAGCCCCAGAAAAGATACCAGCTACACAGACACACAGACACACACGCATGCGCGTGCGCGTGTGCATGCACAGAGTTGTTAAGCCTATGGCTCTTTTGCTTCATCTTAAGACTTTGCATTACGGATTTCACTCAGGGAGAATTCATCACACATTATAAAAAGGACCTTCTCTTTAAATAATGGCTTCTTCCAAAAGAAGCAGTTGGATCCTACATCTAGGAATATAGGTGTATCCCATGAATTATCACATCTACCAATGGTGAGCATAGGCATCAACTTATCAAACAGTTGGAGTTTTAGCAGCACTGTGTGTACAGGAAGTCCAGGGAGACCACAGAAGTCGGGGCCAAGGTGACTGCTCCTCACCTTCCTTTGATTCTCTTCTGAAATAACTGGAGACTCACTTTCAAGGGAAAGGAAAAATTCCAAACTATTTTTATTTTGGCTAGAGTGTGTGTGTGTGTGTGTGTGTGTGTGTGTGTGTGTGTGTGTGGTGTATGTATACTGTGTGATATATGTGTGTGGTGCATGCGCATGTATTTCCCAATGGGAAGAGAAGGGTGGCAGGATGAATGGTGACAAATTTATATGTAACCCGAGGTACTTTTTTATATTTCATCAACGAGTAGACAGATAACACCAGCATAAAGCCTTTCTACTCAGTGTGACTGGGGACCAGCAAACTCAGTATCCTCTGAGAACTTGTTGGAAATGCAGATTGTCGATATCTTTCCCACATCTACTGAATCCGAATCTGCATTTTTAACAAGATCTCCAGTCGATTTCTGTGCATGTTTAAGTTTGGTGGAAAGTTGTGAGTAAGAGAGGCTGTCTGAGTTTGAACTCTGGCTGCTCTGCTTACTGGTAATATCATTTTGGACCAGTTGCTTAACGTCTGTTTTCCGTAGGTAGCATCTCAATTAATATCTAGCTCATAGGGATGTGGGAAATTAACAGAGTTCACATATATCTAGTGCTTTAAAAAATACCTGGTTCTTAATAAGTTCTAGCTTTAATGCTGAGATTGACAGTCACAGAACTAACATATGACTATGTACATATCTCCATGAGGCACAGAAGTCCTCTCCAAGATACAGGTTTGAGTTCTGTCTTTCCCATCATGTGACACTGATCAGCCTTCCATCTCTTTGCCAAAGGAAGCCTTGGTATAAATAACTTTTTTACTCTTGCCTTTTTCTAGAGAGAATTTCCTGTTCCTGAACAGTTCAAGACAGCATGGGATGGATCCAAGTTGGTCACTGAACCTGCAGAAATCATGGGCTAACCTCCAGAGAAACCGAACCCCCTGATCTGAACCCCCTCATTAAAAAAAAACAAAAAAACAGCATTACAGACCTAGAAGTTGCAGTAGCATCTACTGCTTTAGTTTTGGCCTCCAACAATTCTGTGCTATGGAAACAATCATTTCTGGCACACCTTCATGGGCATTTTGAAGTATTTAACATTTCTTCATGATTTGCCTTTGTGTGTGATTTGCGTTCCACTTGATGACTTTTGAGCATTGCACATTTAAAGGGGAAAAAAATTATATTCCCCTCATATCATTAACACAGTAGCTGATAGGTAAAAATATTGCATGATTCACTTTTGCACTTGCGTTTAATTGCTAGCTGAGAAATAAAACCTTTGAGAATCTAAGATATACATTTTTACCTTTTAGACAATTTCAATATGATGGAATAGTATGCTCTGAAAAATCTACTATTTTTTTCTTATTACCACATGTTCACCTTTATCAGTTTGATACACTGTCAAAAAGAATTCATATTTCAACCCATACTTTTACAAAACAAAAATTCCATACTAAGGACCATATTTAGTTTCTCAGTCCTTGGAAGACTTGTTTTCTTTACAGTTACTAAAAACCAAACGTAAATTCTAGTGAGTTACCTAAAATACTTTTCTGCTATGTCATGTAAAAAACTTTTACTTTTCTGCTTAAAGATTTTCATGCCAAAAGATTGGTGAGAGGAAACAGATATAATACCTCACAATTTTACTCTAAGATCAAGCTCGATTTTTGTTTTCCAACTTTGAACCTATTAAATATGCCTTGTAAGTGATGTCTTTAATGTTTTATTATAGACTACTTTCTTTTCCACTGGCCAGACTTGTTGACCAGGCTCAAAAGTAAACATGAAAAAGCCATAGCTGTATTACTTCTTCCAAAACCTAAAGAACTGTTTGTTGGTTTGGCTTGCTGCGCCTATTTTGTATTATGCAACATAAGCGTAACTATGATACTCCTTTGTATCTTTTTAGTACATAGTGCTGAAGAAGCTGCAACTTCTTGGATCACATGTAATGAATTATAGTATAATGCTTGCAGGCCCAATTCAAGCATATATATTGTGCCTATCACAGCCTTTGGAATACATCATTTCCATTTTTTAAATATCTTCTGTATCCATATAGGATTCAAATAACTAATGCTCATGTACCAAGGTTTTGCTATAAAAGTTTTTGTCTGTATGGAAACTGTTGTGGCTTTAGTAAATATTCTTTTTTCAACTCTAAACTTATTCTGAAATAAAGTAAAATTCTAATTGTTTAAATGTTGTGATGAATTCTGAGTGTTAAAGTTATTTTTTTTTTCTGCTTTGATTTGCCCCTTGATCATCTGTCAGATTTAGGAAAGACAGCTGAGTCCTTCTGGTCGAATGAGAGAATGTATCCAGCATGCCATCAGCTTCCCTGAAGAATGGCTTCTCTGAAATAGATTTCACATAAAACCATTTGCAGTGGAATGACTATCAGTCAGAAAATTCTAGAGTCCAGTTTTATAATTCAAGGTCTCTTCACTGAGAAAATTCCCTTTCTAGATCTTAGTTAATGTAAACATCCCAGAAATAAATTTAGTTTATAATTATAATATAGTATTATATATACTATATATTTTTAATGTATAATATCATTGACTTTTATAATAAATTTATGAATAAACTTCTAGAGGAAAAAAATTTAAGCGAGAAGAAAAACTTTAAAAAGGGCATGCTACATACCCATTATATCATAATAATTTTATATTGAAAAATAAATCCATCCAAAATTCTTAGACTCTCTGTCAACTGACCTTAGACTTATCATCAGCCTTTCAAGCGCTTCAACACAGATCCTGAAAATCTAGACTTGAGGTTCAATTATTTTGCCAGCCCTGGTGCCCTAAGTCACCTACTGGTTTTTTGAGTGGGTTGAATTATCGGAAAAGGAAAAAATAAAACTCTGGCAATGTATAGGAAAACAATTACCAAAGACAATGCTGCATTTTAAATATGCTTTTTTCCTTGCATTTTGTCGAATTCTAATGTTACCAATGCTATCACCTAATATTATCAAAGGGATACGAAATCCATACTTAGCAGAATCACATATCATGTAAATCAAAAAAAATCAAAACAAAAATAAGTCAGTAAAAAATTAAGTGCAAGGGTCTCCTGTATCTCTTTATTTTGTAATATTACAAAAGCATCATTTTATAGGATCAGAATGATAAAATAATCCATAAGAGTCTTTGTTGTCTCGAAAATCCTTTTCTTAATAATACTGTCTCCTTTAGATAGTCTATTTCTTCCTGATAGTCTTCCTTTCACAGCGAGTCTTCCTTTCCCACTCTCTTTCAAAGTGAATAGTCAGTACTAACCACTTCTCCTTATCTATGGAAATTCTTTCTAGAACTGGTAGGAAATACATACGGTTTTGGTCATTCACTCTTTCATTCACTGAAAATGTTCACTTCAATTTCTTAGAATCTAGATGAGGTTATCTAAGAAAACTCCTCATTTGAAAGGTGAAAAAGGTGAGGTCCACTGACATTAGCAATTTGCTTGAGATTAGACAAGCAATCAGTTAGAGGTAAAGCAAGGACTAGAACACACATACACACCTTTTTATAACTACTGTAATTTGGCTACTAGTCTAACCATGTTTCTGAAACTCAAATGGCTTTATCTCATTACTCACCCATCAAGATTCTTGACATTGTCCCTCCTTTTCTTTTAAATTAAATTCCGTTGACTTTGAGACACAATAAACTCCTCTGGTTCCTCTCCCTTCTACCTTTTTCTCCCCTGTCAAATGCTCATTTGTCTCCCTTCACCTAATGCCTCTATGTAGATGACTCCCAAATTGACATCCCCAACCCAAATCCATCTCCTCAAATTCTTGACTCCAAGTGTCCACAGAGTATTTCTACCTGTCCCAACTTCATTCAACGTGGCTAAAGTTAATGCATGTTTCCCACACAAATCCATATATTCCTCATCTGCCTTTCCAGTTAAAGTCAATTCTCATCACAGATTTAACAACAGCCATTTTCTGTGACAGGAAACACAGAAAAAGAAGCAGATCTGGAGGAAACCATGATTAAGTCGTGAACATAAGTTTAACTCAGGGTGTCTCTGTGACAGTAGAAATGGAGAGTAGGCAGTTGGATACGAGTCTGAAGTCTTCCATTGTCTCTGATACCATTTCTTTAGGAATCATTTCATAAGTTTAATATTCCAAAAATGGCTTTCATTAAACATGTTCCTTTCAAAAGAATTATTTTAAACCACTGGCACTTTCTGCACCAGTTCAGATACAGATGCAATTTTAAGGGCTTAATTGTTTCAACTGACACAAGCTGATTTAACAGTCTTTCAAAGATTGCTTTTGGAAGTTTAACCATTTCGATGTTTCTGTACATGTTGATGCTTGTATCTTTGCTACAAGTGGAAAGTAAGCCATCTGAAATTAACCAGTGATAATTCATCTAGTTTTCTCCAAATGGTTTTTGTTCCTCTACTGTTTGTTCAGTAACTTGGCAGAGAATATGCAACTAACAAGGATACTGTTTGTCTATCAGTAGAAAATTTTCTTCAGGGTTCCCTCTAGTGCAATGTATCATTTTACATTTAAAGATAATTTTTGTTTAAAGCTACAACTTTGAATATTTGAGTTTTAAGTCCACTTTATTTCAATACCTTGCTTTTTAGGACCATCATAGTAAAAAAAAAAAAAAAAAAAAAAAATTCATACGGACATGAAGATCCAAATGAAAGAAATGCATCACTGACCATACTTATTTTAATGAAATTTTGATTTCATTAAAATTCAGTTAGTAATTTCCCATGATATCAACAATTCATCTTGGAAACTAACCAGAAAGTGTGCATTTAATTTTTTTTTGTTATTTTTAATAACTCTATGTCCTCATTTCTTTAACTCATAAGTCAATAAACTGGTAATGGGAAGTCTCCCCATGAACATAATAGTTCTGCAGATTTTTTTGGAAAG